GTGGACACATTGTAAGCCAAACCTAAGACAGGATTCTGCTTAGTACCTGGCCCCATGTGCCTCCCCCGCTCTAACTGGGAGCATGCAGATGATACTTCAGGCATCTAGCATCAGTGTCAACACAGACCCTGTATCGCACAGACCTTGATATGTCTGGGTATTCTCCCTTTCCCAGTGAAGTTACCCAAGTAAATGGCCATAGATCTCTTTGGGAAAGGACTGGGGGAATCATTAGCATATATTCTTGCTATAGTGTTGAGGATCCTTCCTCCTACGGACCTGGCCAGTTCTTCAGTCATGGTCTGAAAATTGCCTCAAGTCTGGACTCTGGGAAGGGATTGAGACTTTTTCGGGGAGCTAGTGTCTCTCCAGCCTTCCAGTCACCTATCCTTAATATTTTCTGCTGGTGGGCGCCTGGGTGGCTCAGTCGTTAAGCGTCTGCCTTCGGCTCAGGTCATGATCCCAGGGTCCTGGGATCGAGCCCCTCATTGGGCTCCCTGCTCGGCAGGAAGCCTGCTTCTCCCTCTCCCACTCCCCCTGCTTGTGTTCCTGCTCTCGCTATCTCTCTCTCCGTCAAATAAATAAATAAAATCTTTAAAAAAAAATTTTTTTTCTGCTGGTACAAGCTAAGTAGTACTCCTGACAGTTGTCCATCTATTTTGCCTCTAGGGATGCTTTGCTGGATTAACCATCTCCATAACTCCCTAGGGCCAGGTCCTCCTGGCTGCCACTCCAGCCTTACCAGCCATTATGAGAATTGCCATTCCCTCGTTTCTGGAAGTTAAACACTGCCACTTGGCCTTTGTTGTTTTAGGGTCCAATTGTCCCCATTGCTATCAGTGAGCCAAGTTCTGTAACGGTATCTTCCATCGTCAGCCCTGGTCTATGGAGGAGAGCCACCACTTAACATTTTTAGAGATTCTGGTGGGCCTCTCACCAGCAGATTCTCATGGCCTTGGTAAATAGTGTGTCTTTTAGTTCTTTCCATGGAACATAATTATCCGGCAGATCTTCTGGTTATCTATGGTCCATTCTGGCATACCTGAGTCTTGTAACCCCACCTGCATCATCTTCCTTAGAAATTCTAACTTAAGCTTTCTTTAGCATGGGTCATCATCACTTTTTCCATGCTTGCAGGATCCATCCTAGTGGTGACTTTGCAATATCTCCTGGTCTTTGCCAGGATACTGAATCCTGTAACTCAAGAGAGGGGTCCCAAATTTATTCCTTGGTTGCAAGGGTGGTTCAGTATTTACAAATCAATCAACGTGGTACATCGCATTAATAAAAGAAAGGAGAAAAAACAGATGATCATTTCAGTAGATGCAAAAAAAAAAAATTCAAAGTACAACATCCATTCATGATAAAAAAAAAAAAAAAAAACCTCAACAAAGTAGGTTTAGAGGGAACATACCTCAACATAATAAAGGCGTATATGAAAAACCCACAGCTAACATCATCCTCAACGGGGAAAATCTGACAGTCTTTCCTCTATGGTCAGGAATAAAACAGAGATGTCCACTCCTACCAATTTTATTCAGCATAGTACTGGAAGTCCTAGTATCAGCAATCAGACAATGAAAAGAAATAAAAGGCATTCAAATTGGCAAGGAAGAAGTAAAACTTTTACTATTTGCAGATGACATGACATTGTATATAGAAAATCTGAAAAACTCCACCAAAAAAAACTGCTAGAACTGATAAATGAATTCTTAGTAAAGTTGCAGGATACAAAATCAACATATGGAAAAATCTGTTGCATTTCTCTACACCAATAATGAAGCAGTAGAAAGAGAAATTAAGGAATCAATCCCATTTACAACTGCACCAAGAACTATAAGATATCTAGGAATAAACCTAACCAAAGAGGTGAAAGACCTGTACTCTGAAAACTATAAAACACCGATGAGAGAAATTGAAGATGACACAAAGAAATGGAAAGACATTCCATGCTCATGGACTGGAAGGACAAATGTTGTTAAAATGTATATACTACCCAAAACATTCTACAGATTAATGTAATCCCTATCAAAATACCAACAGCAATTTTCACAGCTAGAACAAACAATCCTAATATTTGTATGGAACCACAAAAGACCCTGAATAGCCAAAACAATCTTGAAAAGCAAAACTGGAGGCATCACAATTCTGGACTTTAGGTTATATTACAAAGCTGTAGTGATCAAAACAGTATGGAGGCGCCTGGGTGGCTCAGTCAGTTAAGTGTCCAACTCTTGATTTTGGCTCAGGTCATGATCTCAGGGTTGTGATCTCAAGCCCTGCCTCAGGCTCCATGCTGGGCGTAGAGTCTGCGAAAGATTCTTTCTCTCCCTCTGCCCCTCCCCCCTCTAAAAAAAAGACAATATGGTACTGGCGCAAAAACAGACACAGAGCAATCAGAATAGAAAACCCAGAAATGAGCCCACAACTATATGTTCAATTAATCTTCAACAAAAGAGGCAACAATATCCAATGGGAAAGAGACAGTCTCTTCAAGAAATGGTGTTGGGAAAACTGGACAGCTACATGCAAAAAAATGAAATTAGACCACTTTCTTACACCAAGCACAAAAATAAACTCAAAATGGATTAAAGACCTAAATGTGAGACCTGAAACCATAAAAATCCTAAAAAGAGAACACATGCAGTAATTTGACATCAGCTATAGCAACTTCTTTCTAGATTTATCTCCAGAGACAAGGGAAACAAAAGCAAAAATAAACTTTTGGGATCATCAAAATAAAAAGCTTCTGCACAGTGAAGGAAACAGTCAACAAAATTAAAAGGCAACCTACAGAATGGGAGAAGAGATTTGCAAATGACGTATCTGATAAAGGGTTAGTATCTGAAACATATAAAGAACTTATGAAACTCAACACCCAAAAAATGAATAATCCAATTTAAAAATGGGCAGAAGACATGAATAGACATTTTTCCAAAGAAGACATACAGATGACCAACAGACACAGGAAAAGATGCTCAACATCACTTATCATCAGGGAAATGCAAATCAAAACTACAATAACATATCTCCTCACACCCATCAGAATGGCTAAAATCAACAACACAAGAAACAACAGATGTTGGCAAGAATGTAGAGAAAAAGGAACCCTCCCTCTCGCACTGTTGGTGGGAATGCAAACTGGTGCAGCCACTCTGGAAAACAGTATGGAGTTTCCTCAGAAAGTTAAAAATAGAACTTCTCTACTATCCAGCAATCACACTATTAGGTATTAACCCAATGAATACAAAAATACTAATTTAAAGGGATACATGCACCCCAATGTTTATAGCAGCATTATCTATGATAGCCAAATTATGAAAACAGCCCAAGTGTCCATCAACAGATGAATGGATAAAGAAGATGTGGTATATATATATACAATAAGATATTACTCAACCATAAAAAGGAAGGAAATCTTGTCATTCGCAATGATGTGGATAGAACTAGAGAGTATTATGCTAAGCAAAATAAGTCAGAGAAAGACCGTATGATTTCACTCATATGTGGAATTTAAGAAACAGAAACAAATTTAAGAAACAAATGAGCAAAGGGAACGAGAGAGAGAGAAACCAAGAAACAGATTCTTAACAAACAGAACAAACTGAAGGTCACCAGTGAGGAGGTGGGTGGAGAATGACTTAAATAGGTGATGGGGATTAAGGAGCGCGTGTGCTGTGATGAGCACCAGGTGATGTATCGAAGTGTTGGATCGCTATATTGTACACCTGAAACTAAAATTACACTGTATGTTAACTAACTGGAATTTAAATAAAAACTTTAAGGGGGCGCCTGGGGTTGGTTAAGCATCCAACTCTTGGTTTCAGCTCAGGTCATGATCTCAGGGTCGTGAGATGCAGCCCCACATGGGGTTCTCAGTGTGGAGTCTGTTTGGGATTCTCTATCCCTCTCCCTCCCTCTACCCCATCTCCTTAACTAATAATTAAAAAAAAAAAAGTAAGTAGTTAATCCAAAATTAGGTACATGTAAAAGAAAGTGGAGGGGATCGATAAGCCCTTCTTTTCCTGATTTTATGTTCCTTCCCCCTCCAACAAGCACCCTCCGAATCCTGCTCCACATGTATTCCCTCTGGCTTCTCAAATTCATAGTGGCTAGGCCTTGCCGCTTCTATGGGGCAGAGTCCCTTTCCTCCCTTATCAGGCCCAGCACTTCCATGCTGGATTATGCTGCAACTAACCTAGTATAGGCCTAGTGGCTAGGAGAAGTAGGGGCAGATCCTGAAGGGACACCTGTTGCTTTGTGAGGGCAAGCCATCTGCCCTGTCTTCCAGCAGAGAAGGAACACTTGCTCTCACTAGCAAGGAGTGGGCTACTTCTGGAGGCTCAGAAGATTCAGAGGAATTTGTGGAGCTAAAATCTTCAGGAGCATCCACCCAGATATCACCATTCCAAGTGTCAGAATCTCGGGTTTTTCCAGCCAGGACCCTGACTTTAGCCTAAGAGATCTGCCTTATTTGGGAACTTAACTGTCTTTTTTTTTTTTTTTTAAGATTTTATTTATTTATTTTGACAGAGAGAGAGAGACAGCGAGAGAGGGAACACAAGCAGGGGGGGAATGGAAGAGGGAGAAGCAGGCTTCCCGCGGAGCAGGGAGCCCGACGCGGGGCTCGATCGCAGGACCCTGGGATCATGACCCGAGCTGAAGGCAGATGCTTAACGACTGAGCCACCCAGGCGCCCCCTTAACTGTCTTTGAAGTCAGTCACTCAGACCACTAAATCCTGGGCTGAGTCCTCAGCTTCTCTGGCCTTCCACTGCAGGAGATGTGGGCTTCTCTCTATGAACCAAAGAGGCCCTCTGGTTTTTATACCCAGCATTACCCTGTAGCACATCCATGGAGCTTAGCAATAGCTCTAGTTCCATCATCCTTATAGCTACTATTTCCTATGTACATCTCAAGCATCTGGTACATTGTGCCCTCTAGAGCATTCCATTCTATTGGTTCACTCTCCCAATTCACCACTGGGTGTGTTCCACCTACCTCCAGTGATGGGGTCCTCGTGGTAAGATGGGTGGTGATCCAGTTCCAAAACCCCATCTTATCACCAGCTTTCTCATCCACCTCTTGTACCAACTGTCAGAAGGTCAGGTTCTCAAGAGTTGATGCTGAGATGGAGTTTGGGATGTAAAATGCTTGTTAGAGATCCATACCTATGAAAGGAAGGGAGCAAAAGCAGGAGTGGGCTGAAGGAAGTCTGTGCTGCAGGGTCACCAAAGTCTCAGCCAATCAGCAGTTCACCTTGGAGGGAGAGGTCCCATCAGGTTGTCAAGCATCAAGTCTAAAATGGCTAAACCTTTACACCCCTACTTTGTTAAGTCGCCTGATGCAGCCTGCCCCAGGAACGGCATGACCTCAGGCAGGGCAGCCTTCGCAGGCTCTGAAGGAACTGACACTGGAGACTGCCTGCTGATTACTCCCTCTGCAGCTGGGCAGCAGGTCCTTCCTTGAAAGGGGACCTGGACAACACATCGCCATGTGTCCCACAGTAACATGAAAGTGCGTAAATCCTGAGCGTACAGCTTGGTGAACTCACCCAGGTAACCATCACCCAGCTCAAGAAATCACAAAAGCCCCATATATCCCTCTTAGTGTTTCTCCTTCAAGGTAACTATCCTTCTTCTATCACTGTAGACTCATTTACCTGCTTTTTTTTCTTTAACTGTGATCAAATACACATCACATAAAATTTATCTTTCTTTAAAAAAAAGATTTTATTATTTATTTGTCAGAGAGAGAGAGCATGCACACAAGCAGGGGGAGCAGCAGGCAGAGGGAGAAGCAGGCTCCTGGCTGAGCAGGGAGCCAAATGCAGGGCTCAATCCCAGGACCCTGGGATCATGACCTGAGCCAAAGGCAGATGCTTAACCGACTGAGCCACCCAGGTGCCCCTAAAATTTATCATCTTAACTATTTTAAGGGTACAGTTCAGTAGTGTTAAATACATTCACATTGGTGTGCAACTCATCTCCAGAACTCTTTTCTTCTTGCAAAACTGACCCTCTCTCTATATGCATATATACCCATTAAACAACTTCCCAATCTCCCCTTTCCTCACCCGCTCGCAACCACCATTCTACCTTCTGTCTCTGTGATTTTGACTACTCTAGGTACCTCATATAATTGCGATCGTACAGTATTTGTCTTTTTGTGGCTGGCTGATTTTACTTAGCATAATGTCCTCAAGGTTCCATGTTGTAGCATGTGTCAAAATTTCCATCCTTTTTAGGGCTGACTGATATTCCATTGTATGGGTATACCTTACTTTGTTTATCCATTCATCTGTGAACAGACACTTAGGTTGCTTCCACCTTTTGGCTATTGTGTATAAGGCTGCTATAAATGAATGTACTCCTTTACCTGCTTTTGAACTTTATCAAACGGAATGAATTATATCATGTGTATTCTTTTGTGGTTAGTTTCTTTCCTTCAACACCATGTGTGTGAAATTCATCCATCTTATTGCATATAACAATAGTTTATTCTTTCTCATTGATATATAGTAAGTAGTCCATTGTGTGATCACACCCTAAATTGCTCATCCATTCTACCACTGATGGACATTTAGGTTGTTCCCAGGTTTTAACATTTATTTATGAATAGTACTGCTATGAATATTCTTGTTCATGTCTTCTAGTATACGCAGGTACACATTTCTGAGGGTATATACCTAGGAGTTAAATTGCTGCATCATAGGTTATATATGTTCAGTGTTACTACATTCTGCCTCACAGTTGTTCAATGAGCTGTACCAATTTCTCCTCGAAGGAGCACTGAATGAGAGTTCTAGTTGTTTCATACCCTCAGCAGCACTTCATATCATCAGTCATTGTAATTTTAGCCATTCTCACTAGTATAAAGGCTATCTCATTGTGGTTTTAATTTGTCTTTCCCTGATGACTAATGAGGTTGAAAAACTTTTTATGTTTATCAGTCAGTTGCATATCCTCTTTTGTGAAGTGCCTGTTTATGTCTTTTACCCTTTTCTTATTTGGGTTATCTTTTTTCTTAATGATTTTTAGTTTTGTAGTATTCATATGTATTTTCCAAAGAGTGTTTAATTCTCCACTGCGGATGGCATGGTCTTGCTCCAGAACCCAGGGATCTCTCTGGGGCTTGTCACAAATTATGCACACCATCTTCTCCCATCCCCCCGACCTTGTGCATGTGTATTCTTGATAAGTGTCTCTTGTTGGATGTATGGATTGCAAATATAATCTTCCTCCCTGTGGCTTGCCTTTTTGCTCTCTTAATGGTGTCTTTGATGAATAATAGTTCTTCATCTTAATAAGTTCGAATTATCAATCTTTTTTTTATGGTCAGCACTTTTTGTATTCTGCTTAGTAATTACTTTTAAAATATGCGTAAGAATAAACACGTATCTATTGAAATAATATTCTTTTGTGGCCTGCCTAAGGTTACATTGTGTGGTCCTCAATGGCCCACTGGATGAAACGCAGACTGGCTAACATGAATCACAAGATCACACCCCCACCAAGCTCCCCAGGCTCCTCTCACTGCTCCCCTCTCTGCACTTCCCCCTTCAGCTATTTGCTTAACCAACCACCCCGCGCTCATATCAGCAATTCTGGAAACTGTGTCAGGAACCTATAGCAAACACTCCTCCTCTTTCCCACCAGGGCCCTGATTTTTTATTTATTTATCATTTTTTAAAGTAATCTCTACACCCAATGTGGGGCTCGACCTCACAGCCCCAAGATCAAGAGTCGCATGCTCCACTGACTGAGCCAGCCAGACTCCCCCAAGACCCTGATTTTGTTCAGGCATCCACCCTCCTCCACATGGCTCTGTGCATCAGGGGAAGATGGCCCCACTCTGAGCTACAGGAGGGGCATCCTAATTGCCTAATCCAATCATGGCTCCACAGTCTTCCTGCGATGGGACCCAGTTCTGGCTAAGGAAATGTGTGCAGCTCCTGGGAAAGTCATCTTTGCTCCTGCCCAAGAGAACAGGAAGAGGGGCCCCATTTCTTACTTTGGAAGTTATGGGGTCTCGGAGCAAATTCTATACACTGAGCACAGAGATTTGCTTGAAAGAACCTGGGCCTTTGATGATGTCAGGCACCAGCGATCGTCCTGTGTCTGAAGAGCAACCTTCTGCCAGTCTGCATTTCCTTCTGATTTAAGCCCATTTTGCATCAGTTTCAGTCCCTTTCATCTGAAAGCACCTAGTGACCTTGGGTGAATGACTGAATGTGGACATCCTTGGTGGATTGTGATGTGCAGGGCCAGCTTCACTGGTGTGTGACCTTGCTGTCACGTGAGGCCTCATGCTTAGTAGTATTCCCCCCACCGCCCCCAGCTTGGTTTACTGTTATGTTGTTACTGTTTCAAAATTCTTTTTTTTAAAGATTTTATTTATTTATTTGAGAGAGAGAGACAGAGATAGCGACAGAGATAGCAAAAGAGAGCAGGAGCAGGGAGGAGAGGGAGAAGCAGGCTCCCTGCTTGATCCCAGGACAAGAGCTTGATCCCAGGACTCTGGGATCATGACCTAAGCCAAAGGCAGATGCTTAACCGACTGAACCACCCAAACGCCCCTCAAAATTCTTAATAACTTATGATCAAGGGGCCCTGCATTTTCATTTTGCACTGGGCCCCCCAAATTGCGTAGCTGGTCTTAGCGGCATGACATTTCTTATCTCCTTGTTTTTCTTCATCTGTCTTCTCAAGCTTTGAATCTTCATAGCTTCATCTTTAAGACCTAGTCCAGATGCTTCATCTGTAAAACCCACCAGCTTAACTGTAAAATGAGGAGGCTGAGCTCATCCTTCTGGATACTTTCCAGCACTGTTAAGAATTCAGCTTTCCCCTAACCCATTTTGGTAAGTAACAACTTTTCACCACCCAAAAGGGACCCCTACAGGCAAAATCCAAGCCCCCTGGCCTAGTACTCATCTTCTTATTCAATAAGTTGTTCATGTCACTCCTTCAACCCAACCTCCACTGCTTTCCAATGGGAATCACCTCCTTCAGTCAAAATGAAAACAACAGAGGCTCCTGGCGGGCTCAGTCAGAAGAGCATGTGACTCTTAATCTCGAGCCCCACATTGTGAGTTCGAGCCCCACGTTAGGTATAGAGATTACTAAAAAATAAATAAAACTTAAAAAAAATGAAAACAATAGTAACAGTGAAAACAATGCATGTGAATAGTGGTTTACAGACTAACACATATTACAACAAATCCTTGCAGTAATTCTGTGAGATAGAGGCGCCTGGGTGGCTCAGTCGTTAAGCGTCTGCCTTCAGCTCAGGTCATGATCCCACGGTCCTGGGATCGAGTCCCGCATCGGGCTCCCTGCTCCACGGGAAGCCTGCTTCTCCCTCCCCCACTCCCCCTGCTTGTATTCCCTCTCTTGCTGTTCTCTGTCAAATAAATAAATAAAATCTTAAAAAATATAATAATAATTCTGTGAGATATAATTTTTTAAAGTACCCTGTACCTTTATTCTGTTACAAATAGAATTTGCTGATCAGCATTATGTGTAGTACAAAAGTCCACAAACTTAATAAGTATAGTTACTCGTCACTTTTTTTTTTTTTAAAGATTTTATTTATTTATTTGAGAGAGAGACTGAGAGAGAGAGCATGAGAGGGGGGAGGGTCGGGAGGGTCAGAGGGAGAAGCAGACTCCCCACCGAGCAGGGAGCCCGATGCGGGACTCGATCCAGGGACTCCAGGATCATGACCTGAGCCGAAGGCAGTCGCTTAACCAACTGAGCCACCCAGGTGCCCGTTACTCGTCACTTTTAACAACTTTTTATTTTGAGAGAATTTCGGATTTATAGAATGGTTGTATGAAGAATACAAAGACCTACCATATACCTTTATTCAGATTCCTAAAATGTTAACATTTTATCACATTTGCTTTATCATCCTTCACCCCACATATATATATATAAATACACACATGCATATATACACATATATACACACATATATGTTCATTTAGAGGTAAAAAGGCATATCGGTAATTTATTCTCAAATGGTCAACTGGCTCAGGAAATAATCATATATACTTATATATTTAAATATATAATATACAAAGTTATATATTATATATTTATATATAAAAATGTATTATTTTTATTATATATACATTTCCTCAACCATTTGAGAGTAAATTGCAGAT